CTAGCGACAAGGGAAAGCATTTTGGAAAAAAATGTCAAGAGACAAAAATGTTCAGGACACATTTCTCTATCTGCTCTGATAATTTGAGAAAAATCTGTGATAGTTCATTGAGCACGCTATGCTGGAAAAGTGCGTTTCTATCGTGCACTGCCTCATAATCGATTGAATGTTCCGTATTCAATGCGTTCATCAATACCTAAGGCTTGAAATACCGGCGCAAAATCATTCTTATCTCGCATACTTAAATATTCACTATAACATGAGCAATCTACATCAATACCATTTAGAGCAAAAACACAAGCAACAACGGCCATGATTATTGATTTACCTTCCCCTGTTCCAACTTCAACTAAATTGTTAATCAAATCATTGGAAACGCTTCTCCGATGTAACGAAATTCCAAGAAGTTTGGTATCTTTTGTATAACCAAGACCAAAAATACGAAAAATAGAAATCACTTGTGCTACATGTGGCATCAATAGATAAGCTCGTGCTGAATCAATACCACGCATACTATTGTAATGTTGAGTATTTTTCAAAGTCCATACAGCAAAAATATGTGCTAATAAATCTGGAATTTTATCTCGAAGTGAACGATCCCATTTGATTTCACCATATTTTTGAACTCCCTCCGCAATTAATGCTTTGGTTTCTGAGATTAATACATCTAGTTTAGGTTCTGTTTCTGTTTTTAAATTAAATGCTGCTAAATTTTTTGATATTAAATCATCGTATTTACTTCGAAAAACTGTATAACGTTTACGCACTATATCTGTTGCAAGTTCATCTTCTGTTTTTAAATCATCTCCTGTTAATTCTTTTAAAACATATTCAAGATCATCTTGTTTTTGCATTTTTTCTCGTCGCTTTCTCCAGTCTTCACCAGTTAAACCTGAATGTTCAGACATTAATCGAGCCCCTAATTCATTTTTCTCTAATATCATTGTTAATTGTCCAATCATTGTTGGACCTTGACTTGCTTTAAATGATTTTAGACATTCATCAATAGTTCGATTGATTTTTGCCTCAAACATCGAGAGATTTTCAGCAAAAAATTTCATTCTTATAAAAAATTCAGCCACTTTAGTAAAATCGGCGCCTGCACTAGCAATATTTTTTGCTAACATTGCGACCTTATCAAGAATATGTTTTTCAGCTAATTCTAAACTTTGTGGAATATTAACGTCAGGATATGAAATATATTTCTCAAATGAAAGAAGATGATTGTAATATGTACGAAATTCATCTGCTTCAGATTCAGATATATCAGTTTGAGTAGCATAGGTTAAGAGTTTTCGTTTTATTTCTTCAATTTTAATTTTTAAATCTCTTTCAATTTGTTCAAAATCAACAGATAAAAACATTTTTGGAAATTCTGTATTAATCAATTTAAATGTTTTCAATGATGTCGAAAGATTACTAAAGAATTGATCACGCTCTGTTTCGAATCTCATTGTTTTATCCCTGATTAGTTTCTCAGTAAATATTTGTGCTAATTCGTTGATCTTTTTCTTAAAATTCGAAATCAATTCTGAATGTCCAAGTACTTTTTTCATTTTCTGAACAAATGCTTTTATTGATGGATGTGCGCAACTAGTATTTCGAATATTTTGCAAAACTCTATCGCAACGGTCTGTTATCTCTAATAAACTACGTAATGCACTAATATTCAATTCTATTAAAGCAAGATTAAAATCATTGACTGTATCCTCCCAATTCCTGTGCATAGTTTCTAATTTTATAATAATAATTTGAAACACTTTCTGAGAAATGAGATCATTTATTTTTTCAGGATATGATTGACTAAATTCAATACATAAAGTCAAATTAGTAAAAGCTTGGTCAACAGCTTCAATTTTCTGTATTGTAAATATGTTACTAAGTGTGTCCGAATAAGTACGAACAGATTTACTGATTAGATCACGCACCAACTTATAAAATTGTTCGGTACTAGGAATCGCAGGTGCATATATACGATATTTGATAACGTGTCGCATATTTTCAGTAGCAGATGAAATCTCATCTTTCTCAAATGCTGCTTGAATAATTTTCCAATAGCTTGCTAACTTAGCCAAAACTCCTGAATGTAAAATTGTCAATAATTCATCTCGTTTTTCACGGTCATATTGTATCGCAAAGCCATTGACTTTTTCAATAGTCGTATCATTGACAATATCACTTTTGAGAAAACCTTCTAATTCACGTTTATAAGCAAGGCTCTCTTCTAAAAACTTGTCTTTCAACTTATTAATTTGTGTTCGAAATAATGTTTGTAAATCATCTGGTAGAAAATCTAATGAATAATGTAATGGATCTATTAGTTCTGAACGTTTCTCAATTGGTGCTGCACATGTCGCGTCAATGGCTGTCTGAAAATTACGACGAATTTCAGCTGATATATATGTTTCAACTTTTTTATATTTTGCACTATGATATTCTGCAGCTTTCTGTAACTTAACTACAAGATCCTTAGGAGAATGAGTGGGATATTGTTGAATATTTTTTAAATCAATTTTTACTAATAGATGATCGCCTAAACTATCTAATCTTTTTTTAATCTCATTCATTTTTTCAGTAACAGATTCTAGATTAAAATGATTGTCTATTTCACGTCGTACAAGAAGAAGTCTTTCCGTATTTAATTCGGCTTCCAAAACATCATTTGTTTCCATAAAGTTTTCAATAGTACTTATTGCCTGCAACAGTACTGTCGATAAACATGTAGTTATTTTTTGTTCAAATTCTGTCAAATTTAATTTAATTTTTTCATTAATCATTGCCATTATCTTTGGTTTCATTAAAACAGTGCAAATCTTATCCGTATTGGCATTGATTAATTGAATTTGACTTTCAGTTACTGCCTTGAAATCATTATTAAGATCAAGACTATTAGCAAGTTTTTGAGTGTTTTTCATCAAATTGTGCAAAGAAACTTGTAACTTCTGTTCAATCTGAGCTATGTCGCTCGGATTTGCTGTTTTCTTATCAATATCGATCATGGCACTTTCAGTAGCTGCATAATCTTCTTGAAGAATGTTTTCTAAAACAACATGATAGGTTTCTTTAGATTTTTTGGTCGTCTCTATCTGATAATCTCTGTATAGAGCTCCAAATCCTTCTGTTAAAAATTTACCACCACAAAAATGATCTACTCCTATCAATCCTTGCACAGTATTTAATTTTTCATGTAATTTATTATATCTACCAGACACTTTAAGATTTTCTATTTGACCCAAAATCGTTCGATACTGTTCGTGAAATTTTCGACGCCAAAATTCAACTTTTCTGTTTCCGTCAATATATTCAAAAACATGTTTATACTCATTTAACAAAGTCAGTTGTTCTAGACGTATTTCTAAATCTTGTGAATATTCTGAATGATCTTCTTGTGAATGAATTGTAGTAATATGTTTAAATAATCGATCGATTTCTCGATTAAGAAATATTCCATATTCAGTTATGTATTTCACTAAGATTGCATGAATATCAGCTGCCATTTCTTTAAAGCGAATATTTGTGATTCTTCCACAATTACTTGTATATAATAATGCAATATCGGCTGTTGCTGCATCAAATTGATTATCAAAATGATATATTGGTTTATCATTTTTGTCATGATAAACCAAGGTTTGTCATTTTTATCATATATTGGTTTATCATCAATCTTGTACGACGTGAAATAGACAATCATTTTAATCTAGAATCTGTTACTGAAAAAATGAATGAGATTAAAAAAAGATTAGATAGTTTAAGCGATCATCTATTAGTAAAAATTGATTTAAAAAATATTCAACAACACATAGGTACTTTTCTGTTCAGTTTTCGTTAGACCGATACTTGGTGTTTTTTCAGTTGCTGTTTCCTTTTGAAAAATTGGTTGCGTACGGAGTTTCATTTTTGTCGGAAAAAACAATCAGTCCCTTACGAAATGAAAACACGATTTTGCACTGCTCAGTCAATTTGAACAAACACTGAAGTTTTTCCAACTTAAAAGATAAAGAAACTTTGTTTGTCAGCAAAACAAAAAATGCATATGGCCTTCATACTGAAAAGTTAATAGAATGAATGAAAGAAAGAGAGAATCGCTCGACTTCAGTTGATGGGGTGTGTCGCGAGGAACATCGGTTAGAAGATGCAAACATAGTGTGAGTCGCTGAGAACTTCCTTGGTTGCTTAAAGAAAAGTGAACAGAAAAGTACCTATGTGTTCTAGCAAGAAGTATGGTTATTAGTCACTAATGGAAAACATAGGCTAGAAAGCATTGAATTAAAATAAATGATTATAAAATAGTATCAGGTTTTAGTCTATTATACGACTACTAACGAGACACGAGACTACGAGACTATACCCGGGTACTAGACCGAGTATACGAGAATCCCGGTCTTGCTCTCGGTCTCGTTACATAGCTGCAAAGATATAACGTGTGTTTCTTTCGTTCTGTTATTTTTCTTTTTTTCTCCGTTCTGTAGAATCGACGCATACGCACACATTTGCCAAGAATTGCCAAGAAGTGAAAGAAAAGGAAAGACGTCTTATTTGATACGTCGCTACTTAAATCTAATTTGATTAATCGATCTTCTAATTGATGGAAATATTGAGTTAATTCACTTGTAATACGTGTGATCGAAGCATCATATGCTCCTGGACAAACACGATTCATCCATTTGACATTTTCTATACGTGATAATAATCGTGCAATCTTTGTATAATTAGGTGTTTCTCATTGAGATTCTATCGATGCTAATAAATCTTGAACTTCTCGTTGAACTTGATGCATATGTCCACGTACAAATTCAACTGTACGATAATAGATTCCTGCTGTTTTCGAATCGATCTCAGGAATAGTTCGAATAGCCTCCATATCATTAATTAATGATTCTGTATTTTCGAGTGCACGATCTCCATAAACTTCAAACAATTGAGTAATACGATCATTGATCTGATTGAAATAGTTCACGATTTTTTCAATCAATAAATTATAAATCTCACTAAGATTTTTGATATTTTCGGCTAATTTCTCGTTTTTCTTTCTTAACATATCGATATAGATAGAAATACGATCTTGCAATGTAGCATTTTCTTTTGCTGTCCCTAATATTTTAACTGAATTTTTAACAACATCGATTTCATTTTCATTTAATCTCGGTTTGACTAAGAATATATCAGCTTTTTCTACTAAATTCGATAAATATTGTAAGAGTAATTGAATAACATATTTATATTTTTCTTCGACTAGTCCTTGCAAATGTTTATTGAGAATTGGTGTACATTTTGCTATTTGTAAAATTAAATCCGTAATTTTATCAAATTCATTCGTACTAATCAGTTCATTAGCCGGTTCGATTAATTTTTCAAAACGTTCTCGCAAACTTCGACAAAGTTCACTATACAGCGATTCAATTTGTTCAAAAGAATTTTTCAATAGAAAAAGATTATTACAATATACTCTTCACAGTGGGCATTTTTAGCTAGAGCAAGCGGACTTTAGCTTTATGAGTGAACTAAAATTTCATGAACCATTTTTTTATAGGTTTTTCATGATCCTCTTTCTAATGCCATGAGAGCTGGGTTTTGAAA